ACCGTACACTACGCCCACCGGGCGTTATAAGCCTAGACAAAGTTGCTACCAATTTACTGAGTAAACCCCCAGGCGTTATAAGCGTACACAACGCCCACCGGGCGTTATATTCAATTGCAACACCTGGGCACTATTTTCAGGTGAAGACCATAAAAATCCACGACCGACCTAGTTCACAGTAGGCCCTGAGGGGAAAATTAGGGCCTACATAGTCACCACTTGGAGAACAAGTCTAGTGATGCAGATCCTCTTGCATACTAATTTCCCCAACCAGAGAGAACCCTCAGTAGCTCTGCCTTAAAACCCACTTTCACCATTTCTGATGGGATATATATTTTAGCTACTGGATTCCATGGCTTTCATGTCATCGTAGCAACCATTTTTCTTATTATCTGTTGTGTTCGTCAGCACATGGGTCATGTTACTCAAAGACACCATTTCAATTTCAAAGCTGCCACTTGGTATTTGGCATTTTGTCAATGTGGTTTGCTTATTTCTATTTGTATCTATTTATTGGTGGGGGAGTAATTACCACTTACTACCCCAGAACCCAGGGGCGCGTGCCAAACACTCGCAAGAGCTGGGTCCCCGACCGAAGCCGCCGAAGGCATCATTCGAGTCCTCCAGATAGATAGGCCAAAGCCTCCCGTATCTACTAACTGAGTTAATATAGGCCAAAGCCTCCCGTATCTACTAACTGAGTTAATTCAATGATACTGCTTCGCAGCCTAACCTCTTTTCTCCTGTCCGGCTGAAATTTACCAGCTTGTAAATTGCTGACTCAATTTTGAGAACCAGTTGATCGTGAGTGTCACTTCCGGACTCATATTACGACGGATGAGTTCATCATAGCAGAGTATATTAGGAAAGCACTGGTCTCAAACTTTCTTACTCCAATCACTGTCTTCATGACCGCTTCCGCAGCTACCAACAATTCTATGGCCGTCCCAAATATCACGAGGTAATTTCATTCGCTTTCACACCACTGAAATTTCCCACAATTGACAACAGTCATCATGTACTCAGGTGTGAAAGCTTCTTCTCCAGCGAGTGCCTACCATCTTCCTCTGAACATAACACATTGGGAGCTATTGGAAAAAGAACACAATTCAAATACAATGCATATGCTTTGAATTCAGATATTAGGGTTGTTCAAATAGGATACATTATACTTGCGACCAGACGGACTGGACGAGCGTCCTGTCCGGTCCGCTTTGCCGCGTGCGGCACCCTCGCCCCGGACCAGACGGACCCGGACCGGACCGGACGGGGGCGTTTTTTTTTTTTTTTTTTGGGGGGGGGGGGGGGGGGGGGTGGTAATTTGCCAAAGACCCCCATAAGTTCAGATGTATGTCAAAATGTCCCTAAAAGACATGGGCACAG